GTGGTTTACCCACATAAGAGAGTTTTATTTAGCTATAAAGAAAAATGAAATYGTGTCATTTGTAGGAAAATGGATGGTACTAGAGACCACTATGTTAAGCAAAATAAGCCAAGGGTTATATGTTTTCTTTCAAATGTGAAAGCTAGAGAGGAAAAAGGAAAAGAAAGATGGGGGGGGAGGGCTGAAATTTCACGAAAATCAAAGGGAGATTAGTAGGAAAGGCAAATAGGAGGAAGGGGAGAAGAAAGTGTGCTGGGGGAAATATATTAGTCATATTATATTTTTATATTGTGTGTATGTACAACTACTAAACCACAAATTCCATCATTATATACAATTATAATGCACCAATAAAGAATGTAGAAAAAAATTAAGGTGAAATACTTTCTCAATATACAAGAGTTTAAAAAATCTCTTGTTTTATAAGATTTGTAAAAAAAAAAGTCTTTCAGGCAGAAGGAAATAATATGGAAATACAAACTGAAACAAAAAAATCATGAGCACCAGAAATGATAACYAAATGGGCAAACACAAAAAGATTTTGAAAATTTAAATCTCTTAAAAGATAGAGTTCTGATTTCTACTAAGATGGAAAAGGCACACATCAACCCATAGCTCGCATTAAATATAGCTATAAAAACTAGGACAAAATGCATAAAGCAACTGAGAACTCTGAAAGGCAAAAGCAGCTGCAGTGGGGAAGACAAAAATTCAAAGTACCCTAAACCAGTGGTGAAATAMTCAGTGTTTCCCAGTTAAGATTCAACACACCACAACCCCAGAAGTAGGCACCAGACTGCAAACACAGGAAGTACAGGAGCAGCTTTCTTGTTCTAGCTTGAACAAAGGGAAAGGTATATCCTAAAGCTCAGATAGAATACAAAAGTCCCCAACATTTTTCAAAATTTCTTTATTCCTTTATTTCTTTTCCTAAATCCTATACAATCCYGTGGTAGTGGGAAGAGCAGTTGATAATGGGAACCCACAGGAGTCAAAACCGGGAGAGAAGCTTCCTTTTTGTCCAGAGGAGATATGGTATCAAGAAGACAGGGCCAAATCCCATTTTTCTCTCTAATTTCTGGCCACTTGGCTCCAAGTATACAAACAGCACCAAGTAATTAAAGTCCCAGCTTTCTGACCAGATGAGGAAAGAAAGGAGTTCCAGGAAACTAGAAAATACTAGGAGATAGTGAAGACAACAAAATTCAAGAAAGTGACCCCATAAAGCAATTCTTTATTACTTCAACTCATAGTTCAATATGCACATGCATGAATCTGATCCTTTCTGGCATCTCAAAAGACTTTGGAAACTAAATTAATAGATTATACCCTAGGTCCCAGAGTAGTCAAGGGGTGGTACGCATGGTCAAAGTTAAGAAGTTTAACAGATACCATATTGACTGTAAAACCTAAAATATTTATTATCCRGTAATTTAGAGAAGATATTTGCTGATTCCTGTTTTAATAAGTCTCCCCTCTGCAGTAGGAGTTTGAGTCAACAAGAGAAACTGGAGTCTACAAAGGAAAGAAAGGGAAGAGGTGTAGGAAAAATATTTSAGGAAATAATGGCTGAAAACTTATAAATTTTACAAATATTATGAAGTCAACATGTAGGACCCCCCTCATTATCTAGAGAGCTAGATAACCCCCAGAGGGTTATCCCTTCCAAGTCTTCTTGCTTCATTCTTTGTCGTGAATTTTGAACATTAGAAATCCATGTTGAATTACATCTATTTCCCTGAGCTTCTCCTGTATTTTTACTCCTGTCCTAACTATTCCCTGCCCAAAACCCTCTGTATGGGTTTGGTTTAGCTAATTACTTCTTTCCTCAACATATAACATTTTCTGGTAATCACTTCCTTAGTGTCCCAAGACTGACATATGTCCTTGCAATTATTCTTACAGTAACCTATGATTATTCCTGGTRTATTACTTATATTATTTATCAGCTCCAGTTGCCTCTTACTTTCCATCCTTCCCACTAAACACCAGCCACCTTAAGAACAGGAATTGTGTCTTAACCATTATCGTATCCCTACTGCTTAAGAGTGTGTGGCATGTATAGGTACTCAATAAAGAACTGCTGAATAGGGCTGGGGTTGTAGTTCAGTAGTAGAGCACTTGCCTAGCATGTGTGAGGCACTGGGTTCGATCCCCAGTACCATATAAAAAATAAACAAAATAAAGGTATTGTGTCCATCTTCTATTAAAAAAAGAGGAACTGTTGAATAAAGAAACAAAACAAATGCTATCAAGTCTTTGGGGTTTTCTCCAATGTGAGAAAGACTTTGGCAAAAATTGCCCATTAATTTTTTTTCCCTTAAAATTAGGCTTGTCCATGCCCTTTTAGAATATAAGAATCACAAGTGCACCTATATTTCTGTTTTATGCATTGGTGTATCTCTGGTGCCCAGGATAATGTAAAAAAAAGAGTGGGTACTTGGAAATTATTGCTGGATAAATGAATCATTAAATCAGACCTTTAAAATATCTCTGATAAGTTCTCAAGGGACCTTCCTGAGATTTTACCAAAGTTCACTACTCTAGTACTTATTAATTATTCCCAGTAACAGATTAATCTAACCTGGTGTAAAGGGCTAAAGTAACATCATTAGTTCTCTTTCACACTATATACTTTGTATAAAAATCCTTATTATTCTTTTTTTTAATCCTTATTATTCTTAACGCTGGATTATTTTTTACATTCTTCACATTGCACTAAGAGAGGGAGATACTTCTCTAAGAGGAGAACAAACCAGAATGCTTCCAGCCTCTCTCAGTCTCTCTAAGTGCTGGTTCCTTCAGATAGCCATTCTACAAAAATTTGTATTTATGTGCATGCTAAACTAAAACAGGTCATTAATTTGTTCATACATACTTTCAGTTGCAGAGAAAGATGTATCCAGTGTTAATTCATCCAGGGGAATCACAAGTTGACCTCCCACCTCCCACTTCTTTCGATCAGATGAAACTGGTTTTTCTTTTTCACACTCTTTGGTATCTTCATGAACAATGATCTCACAAATATCAGACTGATGCTGCTTTCCTTTTTCATCTTCTTCTTGAGCTTTAAGATTTTCATTCAACCTACGTAGTATTTCTCGTTTACTCTGAAACAATTATGTTTTATGCAAATATTATTAAGTAAAATCTTTTTAAATTCATTTTCAAGCATTTTTTAAGATGGACACAATACCTTTATTTTTATTTATTTATTTTTATGTAATGCTGAGGATGAAACCCAGTGCCTCAAATACACTACGMAGGTGCTCTAACACTGATACAACCTCGGCCCCTTAAGTAAAATTCTAACGTGTATATTATTAAGTAAAATGATTGACAGAGAAACTCTGAAAACAGCACTTACTGAAATAGCATTGTTGTTCTTTTGCATTTCTTCTGAAGTTTCCTGGGTATCAGTTAAATTYATGTCCTTTAAACACAGACAGATATAGAATAAAAAATAATGTTATCCTAAAAGTCTGCCTTAAAAAATATTATTTTTGGTTTTTCATCAAATTGCTCCTTGTTAACTTCTTTTTTCCTGAAAAATGTTAATACAGCATCCTTCATTATCAGCAAAGATAAACATTTAAATATTATCAACTAACAGGCTTACTATAGAAGAAAGGCCAATTCTCAATTATTTGTAATATCTTCAATTTACTGCTCACATATTTAAATTTTCTTCATCTTTCGCAAGTGATTTTTGGTCATTAAAGTCAATGGTAGAAATAAAAAAAATTAATTCACATATTTTAAAAATTAAAGGTAGAGAAAAATCTGATAGACAAAATAATTGAAGACAGACTTATTTTAAAATCGTCTTTTTGTTACACACACACACACACACACACACACACACACATACTTTTGTTAAGACACAGCATTAAACACAAGTGGGAACTGGCTTTCTTCCCTAAGAGGGTAATAAGAATGAGTTCTGAGTCCTTTGTATTATTAATAAATATTGACTTATGATTAACATAATGAAATCATTCTAGATCACCTAGAATTTTTTTWAAAAATGTTATTTTTTATACCTTTATTTTACTTGTTTATATTTACGTGGTGCTGAGGATCAAACTCAGTGCCTCAAGCATCCTAGGCAAGTGCTCTAAAACTGCACTAGAGCCCAGCCCCTAGAATTTAAAAATATAAGAAAAAGAGAATTCATAGTAATTAAGTTTTGAAAGCAAAGATATCTGGAAGATATCTTTCACTAAGAACAATTTTCAAAGTTTTAAACAAGCAATGTTAATTGATTTATTATCTTAAGAATAGTCATTTTAGTTACATGGATTACCTCACACTTTGTAATATTCGAAAAAAAATATAAAACAATGCAGTGGTCAGTTTTAAAGTAACATGTAAATGAGATAAGGAACATTTTACCCAGTAAAGTAGTCAGGAATTAGCAGTCATTACAATCAGAGAGAGCTGAACAACTACTTGAGATATGAGACTGGGTACCAGGAAGGAAACCACACAGTGATATCTAAAAGGTTGAAGTGAACAATGTAGCACATGCAAAGTTGTTAACAGAAAGAAGAAGAGACAAAACCTACTTGAAGAACAATAGTTTCTTATATGAAGGTCTGGAGAGTGGTCAAGAAACAGATTTTTCTACTCAGTCTTATTTTCAATACAAGCACAAAGRCTGTAAAAAAATTAGTGTACTAATCAAAAATATTGGAAGTCTGCAAAAACTTTTGAAACTCAAAAAATAAAAGACATTGACATTAATTACTAGGAAAGAAGCAAATGAGGTTAATGTGTTATATGGTTCAGTAATTCTTTTCCCTTCTATCAAAATGTTGAAATCTAGACAGAAACTCTACATTATAAGCCTGTTTCTCTTAAGCCCAGAACAGAACCTTCTTATGTTAGATCAATACATATGTCTAAGTTCAAATTTTTACTTGTCCATATATCTTTGCTTCACTATCTGTATAGCATGTAGATTCAGAAGTAGAAGGCAACAGGAATAATTGATGAATTAAGTATAATTACACTGAATCCTCTATCATTTGTTATATAACAACATTTTAAATAAATATAAACATGTGTTGGACTTGTGAACATTTGTTAATCATGAGGGGCTGGGATATAAAAATATTTGTTGCACTGTTTTCAGTACATTCCTATATACATTTTATTTGTTCAATATTCAAAGTAGGCAAAAAGAGAATTATCCTCAGTATATGTGAGGGATGGGTTCTAAGACCTTCCTATCCATACAGATACCAAAATCCATAGATGTCAAGCACCTTATACAAAATGGTGGAGTATTTGCACATAACCTACACACATCTTCCATATACTTTAAATCATCTCTAGATTACTTATAATTCCTAATACAGTGCGAATGCTATGATTTACTTTAAATCACCTCTAGATTACTTATTATACCCAATAGAGTGTAAGTGCTAAATAGTTGCCATATATATATATATATATATAGATAGATAGATAGATAGATAGACAAGAGTAAGTTTGAACATGTTCAATGTAAATATAATCATCACAGACCTAACCACACAGTACATGTCATCAACAACATAACACTCATTTTTTAAAAAGTATTTTTGATTGGTGGTTGGATGAGTCTGTAGATGTGAAGCCCTTGGAAACAGAGGGCTGACTATATTGCTTAATTACCATGTAGTCTTAGATATAAAAGTCTATGAGCAGAAAGGTTCTAATATTCATAGTAAACCAAAAAAAATCCTAAGTAATCTTTTCTCTAGAAAACAAGGGGAAACATTGTGAAATTACTGTGATTTTGTTAGATTTAATTTCCTTTTAAATAATCTTTGGACTCTAAGGAGTATCAAATTTTAGGAAACTTACCATACCCACTTCTTTCAAAGCTGAAGTCACAGAAATAACTGATTTCATCTGATGCTTTGAGGGAGAGCCACCTGTTTCATGCTGTCCCAAAGGTGGAGAAACATCAGAACTCTTTATTCCTTTAGCCACCAACTATAAAAAAGAATTTAATTAAATACWTGGGGAATTTTATATTTGCACAAAAAATTAAAAACCTACAAGATCAATGTTTATTCACTCTCTATATACAAGTAGCTTTCTCATTACTACATTGTTTATTAAGCAAGACAAATGACAGATACTAGGGATAAACACTGAGAAGAGAGAGAAACTTCTAGCCTCATAAGTAAACATAGTCATGCATCCTAACTTGCTTCCACTGAATTATCAATGTTTCACAAAATGTTCTTAAAAAGTAGGCTGCTACAATACTCACTTTTAGTCCTTCACTTTAATTTTAATTCATTACAACTTTTGGTGGGAAGAAAACTATTTTATTTATTAATTGTATACCTTAAAAAGAAATGCTTCTGCAACTTCTGCAAATTTTGGTAAAAGCTCCTTAAAGATTAAACATGAATGACCCAACATAAGACTGCTTACTACAAAAAAATGTCAACATAAATAAGAATGGAAGGAGTGACAGTTGCATATGGTAAGATCTGCTTCACTGAAAATGCTGTTATATTCATATATGTGTTTGTTTTTGTCTTACCATTGAAACTTTGAACAATATGAAGTAAGATTCTGAACCTTACTAAAGTAAGAAGAAATGACATTTGCAGGTATGCTAATAGTAACATGGCAGGAAGTCTGTTCTCTATTTCTATTCTTCCTTAAATTAGTAAATAAGACTTTCTGAAAAGTATACATTTCAAACACAATATTTATTGAACATCTTCTAAGAATAAAGTAGTAATATCATTCCATTATTTAGGCTTCTAGATTTTCTTTTTATATTCRATATCTATTTTGTTTAAAAACAGAAATAGAAATGTTGCTTTAATCTCATAGCTCAACATTAGTGAAAAGGTATACTGCTTTTTAAGATGTGAGTATAAAAACTTTTAAAAATCTAGAGCTTACACAAACAAGTATTCTCATCTTAAAAATTATATTAAAATATTTTGAAACTTTATTTATGAAGTTTTATAGGTGGATATATACTGAAAGGTTTCAAAAATTCTGAAGGGAAAAAAACCTCCAAAGTTGTTCTCAATGCTAGCAGCATTTTTAGAATACACTAAAGGTTACTTCTAAAATTAAAACTCATTTGTAAGAAAAACTGGACAGATACTTACAATAGAATCATTAATAAAGAAGACTTTAATAATATATTTGTTATASTTTGGATATGAGGTGCCCCTCAAAAGTTCCTGTGTTAATGCAGAAATGTTCAGAGGTGACATGACTGGATTGTAAGAGCTGAAATCTGATTAATTCATACGAGTTTGAATGGACTTACAGGGTGTAACTTTATAGGCAGGTGTAGTGTAGCTGGAGGATATGGGTCTATGGGGGCATGCCCTTGGAGGGGTACATGTTTACTGCAGTCTGACCCATTCCCCTGCTTCTTCCTCTCTCTGCTTCCTGGTTGCCATGCCTGGAGAAGTTTCTCTACACCACACTCTTCCTCCATGATGTCTCACCTAGGCTTAGAGCAATGAACTTGGCTAACCATGAACTAACCCTCAAGAAATGTGAGTTTTCCTTGCTCCAAGTTTTTCTGGTATGGTATTTTGATTACAGCGATACAAAACTAACACAATACTGTTGTTCTGAACATTAGCATCATTTTAGAACCTAAATTGCATTATATCAATTCTCTTAAGGATTTGGATTTTGGGGGAGTGGGCTGGGGCACCGGGGGGTGAACTCAGGGGCACTCGAACATTGAGCCACATCCCCAGCCCTGTTTTGTATTTTTTATTTAGAGACATGGTCTCCTGAGTTGCTTAGTGCCTTGCTTTTGCTGAGGCTGGCTTTGAACTCTAGATCTTCCTGCCTCAGCCTCCTGAGCCTCTYGGATTACAGGCATGTACTATCTGCTTTGCTGCATTATATCAATTCTCTTAAAGAAATTATTTCTGCTATTTCAATACATGAATTTGATGTGGATTTTTAGGAGAAAAATTCACAATATTTTAAAAATTACTTTACCAGTACATTAAAAGATGTGTTAAGTACTTGTTAGTGCCAAAGATAATTCTAGAGAATCAATATACAAAATGAATAAGATACAGTGTTTTCTCTCACAGGATTATAAATCAGAAGAGAAAGAGGAATATATACATTAACCAGAGAAATAAAAGTAAGGAGATGTATATCAAATATCTGAGGTAAAAGAAAACAAAGAACTAAACATGTTAAAGCCAAGAGCAGGGTTAATAAGAGTAGCCTTCACAGAGTTGCCAATGTTTGAACAGACATTCTTTCAAGAAAGCTATCAAGTTCTCAGAAGATGATATACAATCAATCAACAAATATATGAAAAAAATGTTCATCACAGCTAGCAATTAGAGAAATGCAAATTAAAACCATTTTAAGATTTCATCTCACTCCAGTCAGAATGGCAGCTATTAGTGTTGGTGAGGATGTGGGGAAAAAGGTACACTCATACACTGCTGATGGGACTGCAAATTTGTGCAGCCAATATGGAAAGCAGTATGGAGATTTCTTGGAAAATTGGGAATGGAACCACCATTTGACCCAGCTATCCCTCTCCTTGGTCTATATCCAAACGACTTAAAAACAACATACTACAGGGACACAGCCACATCAATGTTTATAGCAGCACAATTCACAATAGCTGTACTATGGAACCAACCTAGATCCCCTTCAATAGATGAATGGATAAAAAAATGTGGCAATATACACAATGGAATATTACTCAGCATTAAGAGAATAAAGTCATGGCATTTGCAGGTAAATGGATGGAGTTAGAGAAGATAATGTTAAGTGAAGTTGGCCAATCCCAAATAACCAAATGCTGAACATTTTCTTTGATATAGAGGCTGATTCATAGTGGAATAGGGAGGGAACATGGGAAGAATAGACGAACTATAGATAGAGCAGAAGGGTAGAAGGGGAAGGTAAGATTATAAATGAGGGTGAAATGTGATGATCATTATTATCCAAAGTACATGTATGAAGACAGGAATTGGTGTGAATATACTTTGTATACAACTAGAGACATGAAAAATTGTGCTCTATATGTGTAATAAAGAATTATAATACATTCCACTGTCATATATAAATTAAAAAAAGAAGACCAACAAGCAGTTGAAGTAATATACTTCAATACTCAAATCCCCCAATTCTCATTTAACAGTCATACAATTTTTCATTATTTCATATCTTCTCTAAACCTCAAATTTTTTGCTCTCTAAAATGAGAATGCTATACCCATCGTCTCCTGGTTGTAAGAATTAAATAAAACAATTTTTGTAAAGCACACAGTGGTGGATCTGATAAATGGTAGTAATTATTACTTATTTAGTTTGTATTAAATTAGGTTACTTGACTTAAACACCAAAAGTCTGGTTTTAGTCTCTGATGAAATGAATTAACTTGCAGAAAGCAAATTTCTGATCTTTAGAACACAGAATAAAACAAAAACTCTCCCATCCGTGAATGATCAGAATTTAAAATGTAGGCAATGCATAAAGACATTTTAGGACACAGAAACCCAAAAGCCAAATACTTCACATTATAAACTGAAAGAAAAATACCATTTAAAATTATTAAGAAAGTAATTTAATTAAATGAATGTTTAAACAGGAAAGATAATACAGATGTAGACAAATTTACTAAAGTAGGAATAGCACCAACTTCTCTAGTCAACCTATAATACAATTTTCATTCATACTCATATAGGTTATTTTATTTTATTATTTTTTATTTTTATTGATTTTATTTTTTAAAAAATATGACAGTGGAATGTATTACAATTCTTATTACACATATAAGCACAATTTTTCATATCTCTGTATATAAAGTATGTTCACACCAATTCATGTCTTCATACATGTAATTTGGATAATGATGTTCATCATATTCCACCATCATTGCTAACACCCTGCCCCCTCCCTTCCCCTCCC